GAAAGTATCTGAATATTCCATTTCAGAAAATGATTTTTTGGTATTAATGGTTTCTAAAGTATGTTATAAATAACAGGTTTTTATAATTCTAATTCGTGTTTTCAAATTTGTCACCGAAGCATTTTTTAACAGTATATATATTTTTACAGCCAAAGCAATCAACCGCACCGTCAAACATTGCCGCAGCTTCTGAAGTTACGAAGACAAATACTGAGGCAACGGCTACAAGTTCTTCAGTTCCTGCAGCGATACCTGCACCTATCGCTAGTGCTCCTTTGACAACTTCGAGTACCTCGACTCCTACACAAGATATAACAACCACAACTGTACCACCTACCACAGAACCTATACAACCTTCAACATCATTATGGGATAACGCTAGTGCTTTAGGTATGCAAATAATTATAGTGAATTTGGTTTGTTGATCTCTCACTAAATTTTATAATCTATCCTATCTTTTAAGTTACTGGAACTGACTATGAAAATGCCGTAAACAATATTATGGAGATGGGTTTTGATCGGGATCAGGTTGCTAAAGCCATGCGTGCCAGTTTTAATAATCCTGATAGGGCTGTTGAATATCTTATGACTGTATGTTTTAAAACTTTATAAAATTGCAGTGATAAAATGAAAGCATTTTTAATTTATTTTATACTTAACTTAGAGTATTCCTGATGAGCCAACCGTTACAGAGCCAGCAGCAACTCAACCCGCCCAGCAAGTACCTAATCCTGGGGTAACTCCAACTACAACAGGTAGATTTTAATTTAATTTTAATTTTAAAGCTATCTAAAAGCTCATTTTAACATATTATTCCCAAATAGCACCACCACAAAATCTTTTTCGAGCCGCAGCAGCACTAGCTGCATCACAGCAGCAGCAGCAGCAACAACAAAGTGTGGGCGTCGATGAATTAGCTGGTTTGAGAAGTCAACCACAATTTCAACAATTGCGACAGCTTGTTCAACAAAATCCAAATATGTTGCAACCATTGCTTCAGCAAATCGGACAATCAAATCCTCAATTATTGCAGGTAAATTTTAGGAATAATAAAATTCTTGTAATATCTGATACGCATAGAAAGCTAATCCATATATTAAACTACGAACGTTAGCTTATTAATTCCAATCCTAATTCCTTCATGCGCCTTTTGCAAGAAGGAGAAGAAGCAGGTGAGGGAAACCTTCCACCTCCACAATACGTTTCGGTTACACAAGAAGAAAAGGAGGCAATCGATAGGGTAAAGTTAAAATAAAGTTATATTTGATGATAAAATTTTAATATATAGGTTAATAACTAAATTTATAAATTATTTCTGTAGCTGGAAGCCCTAGGATTTGAACGCGCTCTTGCTATTGAGGCTTTTCTTGCTTGTGATCGTAATGAAGATATGGCAGCAAACTATCTTTTCGATCATATGAATGATGAAGATTAAATGACACATAATTTAACTTTTTATTTGTTCATGGAATTGTAACAATTGAATGTGGTAATGATGGTATCGGGTCACTCAATTAATACTTTATTTACTTTATTTTATTTGTTAGTTATTCTTTTGTGATTTATTGAATACATATATATAAGCAGGACTAGGGATGAATCTGTATAGATATTTGATTCTGTATATGAAATAGTTTTAGTTATATTAATAATTGAGGGTTTCAGGGACAGTATATATATCATTTCTTTAAATTCATTTATTTTGTGATTTGACAATGTTAGATTTAGCATAGTCATACCCTTAAATCAATATAATCAATCTAGTAGCTTATTCATCTTCAGAATTCGGTGAATTTGTCAATTATTTACATGTTTATGCTAATTAAAACTTTTTTTTCAAATGTTAAAAAAAAAAATTCAAAGCAATTCGGGTATTATATTTTGCCGATTTGCGCCATCTCTTCAAATTTAAATCATCCGTTAAAATATCCGATGATTAATATAAAAATCGAAGTATAAAAATCGAAGTATTATTTGCAACTTCGTGTTTTCGACGTATTCAAAATTTTTTCAGTCCTTTTGAAAAAGAAAGAAAAGAAAAAACAACCCCCGCCCCCCTTTTGTTATATTTTGCCGGTTTAGAACTTGAAAACCAGTTTGTTGCTTTGACTGACAGAAAAACGAAGCCTTTATTTCGGCCAGACTTACTACAATTTCTGTAGACAATTCACAATTTATAAACACATTATACTAACTTCCTTCAGTTCGAACAAACATAATAGAAATACCAAAAGATTCTACAATGCATAAAACAAAGCCCCGAATAATACCTAAAATGAAGTTGCCAGACGCTGCTCCATCAAATTCATTTACCACCCTGGCAAGATTTGTGTTAGTATACTTAGTTTACCTTTCAAATAGTATTTTATAAAATTAGTACTGATGGTTATCGTTATTTAGCGACCCTTCCGGCAAACTTAATTTTAGCGGTAAGGCTGTTTTACATGCTCAAGGAGTTGATTTCAGTAATGGTATCAGTTATAAAATCAATAAAGATGAGTTGGTGTTATTGGAAGAACTTGGAAAGGGTCAATATGGTACGGTACAAAAGGTATTCCATAAGCCCACTAATGTAACCATGGCAATGAAGGTTCGTTTCTTTTTGTAAAAAAAAAAAATTATTCTCTTTCCAATAAGAATATAGAATAATTTTAATATTATTACTCTTTTAGGAAATTCGTCTCGAACTTGATGAAACTAAATTAAATCAAATTCTAATGGAGCTAGATATTCTCCATAAGTCTCAGAGCACTTATATTGTTGACTTTTATGGCGCTTTCTTCATTGAATCTTGCGTTTATTATTGTATGGAATATATGGATGCAGGATCATTGGACAAATTATATGGAGAAGGTGTCCCTGAAAACGTTCTCGCCAAAATCACAATTGCGGTATAATATATTTAAATAGTTTATTTTAAATTTTTCATAAGCATTTATACAAAATTTTTTTTATACTTATAGATGATAAAAGGACTTAAGTTTCTGAAAGATGAATTAAACATTATACATCGTGGTAATTATTTAGATAATTTATGGAAATATAATTCAATTAATTATATACCCGTTCATCATTTTTAATTTTAGATGTGAAACCTACAAACATTCTTGTAAATAGAGCAGGAGAAGTTAAAATTTGTGATTTTGGAGTTTCCGGTCAACTTCAACAATCACTTGCAAAGACCCATATCGGATGTCAAAGTTATATGGCGGTATATTATTTGATCATAAAATATAATTATAATATATATACATATTTATATATATTCATTTAATATTAATTATCAACTTTATATTTACAGCCAGAAAGAATACAGCATGAGAAGTCTAGTTCATCATATACGGTGCAATCTGACATTTGGTCACTTGGACTTTCCATGCTTGAACTTGGCACCGGAAAATATCCCTATCCCATTCCGGATAAAAAAATTGGCATGTTTGCCCAACTAGCTGCCATCGTTAACGGAGTTCCTCCTGTTTTGCCCGCAGATAGATTTTCTGCAGAATGTCTCGATTTTGTAGCACAATGGTAAGGATTTGCATGAGAGGGATTATAATTATTTTACAAAATATTTAAATGAACCTTTTTATTAATTAGCTTAAATAAAAATCCTCAAAATCGACCTACTTATGCACAATTGCTGGTAAGGATTTTTAGATAAGATTTTATTCTATTAAATACGATTTATTAATTATTTTATCTTTAGGAACATCCATTTTTGGAGAAATATAAAGATGCCGACGTTGATATGAAATCATGGGCTGAACAAGCGTATTCGTCACGAAAAGATCTATTAAAGCAAACATAGTTATATTATGTATAGTAAACAAGTTATTTCTTAAGGGTTGAAACCTGTCGCTGACATTTGATTTACAAAAACAGGAATTTTTTGGTAACGATAAGATAGGAAAACGCCAATTGTGGAGCCAAAATATTAATATGAAAAATAGCATATTTATTATTATTTTACAATTTCAGGTTTGATATTTCTTGTTTCATACCTTTTTGTATCTCTTTAAATTTTCTACTGGTAATCTCAATAGAATATAGGAACTTCTTTTCATGTCAAAATGATTTAAAATTCTGTTTGTTGTGATTATTAATGCTAGATAATTTTTTTTAAATTAAACAAAATTAATGGAACATTGTTTGTAGATTGATTTTTTAATGAATACTTGCTTCAGTTAAATAAAAAGAATTTACATTAGGAAATTTGAAATACTAGTTAATAATTCTAAGCTAGCTATTATAAAATAAAACCTATTGTTTATTAACTGCGTCAATAATTGGCACATTGTTAAAAATAATTGTTAAAAATAAGTAGGTATATATAAAAACAAAAATCTATTTTTTTTTTGTAATTGTTTAATATAAAATTATTAATGCTTTTTTTTTCTCTTGCCGAATTAATGTCAGTTATTAAGGAGAGCATACATCAATAGTAGTTAAGTAGTATATGAAAACGCTGACGTTTTAAACATAAAATGGTCGTTAATTATTCCCATCAATCACAATGGAGAGATTTGTTAAAATGTGATTTTGAACCTCCGAAAGGATATATAAATTGTTAAAAATATCAAATTGTTTATAGAAATTATTAAATGATTTTAATTATAATTTACTTTCCAATTTATTCCCGTCGATTAGCGCCTATAATTCGTAACGTAAACTTGTTTGCTTTAAGTAGTTTATATAGATTATTCATTCTCTTATGCTTCATTTGATCTCTTTCACACTAGCTCTTACCCAAAAATAAATTCTTATTTGCATGTGCGTCGTACCCATTGTTCAGGTAACTTACTATATATCAAAAGTTTGATTGCTCATCCTTTGAAATCCCTTTTCGTTAATATTACTCCTTTCTCCTCGATTTTATCAAATACCTACCTCTTTCTTTTTATTAAAACGCGTTGAAAAGTTACTCAACTCTTGCCAAATTTTACGACGCATATAATCTTTTTGTCTTTTATAGATCTTAAAAAAGTTTACCCTTAACAAAAATGTATCCCACTGGTTCTTCTGAGAGAAGTAAAAAAATTTAACTAATTAAAATAGAGTGTTCTTTCACGGTAATTTCGAATTAAATTTTGTCTATTTTTTTTTTTTTTCAGGTGGACAAAATCACTCTACAAACGATACCGGAGACGAAAAAAATCATAATACTATTACTCTTTCTTATAACGATAATACAATCAACCCAACTGTATACTCAAATACGATTATGACTTCTTTTAATGATAATGAACAATTCTATTCAAGTGTTGTTGGTCAAGTCTACTCGAGAGAAACGGTAACGATTTATGGTAATCCTCCAACAAATTTTTGGGTGAGTTGTGTCACCAATAACGAATTCTTCCATTCTTGGTTCATTCCTTGTGTTTTTATGCTCTTTTTAACTTTTTAATACACCAAATACATGGTACAACCTTTTGTTAACTTGAGAGCTGTCAACAGTGACATTTTTTGACGCGTTTTACTATGAACATTTCCAAATAAGACATTCCCGTTGAGCAATCTAAGATCTTATGATCTGCATTACGGATCGACAATTTTTTGTCAAATTAAAAATTACTAATATTGTAAATTACTTTAATTTTTTTTTATTAAAGAATCAAAGCCCAGTCGTTGGCTTATGTTATTTTTGTAATTCTACTATAAATCCGCAAGACATCGATACGATTACTTGCACATCGGAAAATTGCAATATTAATTCCCATACTGGTAGGTTGTATACAGGTCAACAAATATGCAGTATAACAATTAACTTTATGGAATTCCTTATTAAGTTGACAATGCAGTTTAATAGTTTTAGTTAAATGATTTGTCAAAAAATAATAGTATTGTTTCCCGTTTAATACTTTCAGGGTGCTTAATGAAATATGGACTTTATGACTTCAATCAATCATGGTACTGTCCAAACTGTATGCCACCACGTGTAAGTCATAAATCCGGATCCTCATTTTGCCTTTTTACTTTTCAACTCTTCCCTCTGAATAATTTATCCAATTTATTTTATAGCCTCCCGCAAGACAAATGGAATCATTAAACGACGAAAATATTGAAGCCAATCAATCTCCACCGAAAAATCCTTTGCATTTGCTATTGGAAGCATCGGACCAAATCGTAAAATATCGAACTTTTTTTATTTTTTCTCATCTTCATTTTTTTTATTCTCTATTTTATTTATCAAGACTTTATTTTTATAGCAATCAAATTCTAGGACTAATACAACCCAAATAAACACCGTCAATGATTCGTCTTTTACACCTTTATTGAATTCATCTACGCAACTTATTGAAAATAATGATATTTCAACACGACCAAAACTTATGACTTCCAAAGAATTTATTTTTCAGCCTTTTCATGGTGACAATTCGGATGTTAACGATACCATTAATGGTGAAAATGAAAAGGTAGAAAGTGAAGAAATTTTACCCTCACAATTTGAAATTCAATACTCTTTATACGAAGAAGGTTAGTAAGTTAGTTATTTTATATAAATTTATATATATTAGATATTTTATTTTTAATACAAAAAAAAAAACTTCATTATTTTTATAGAGCGAAATAATTCTATACGTAATCTTGAAAGAACACGTACACGACAAAATCAGGTCACCAGCGCACTTAAAGAATCAGTTGCTAGGCTCTCACGGGAACATGCTAAACAATTCGAAAGATACGAATCCTTAGAAAAAGATAACGAAAAACTTAATAATGTTTTACAAAAATTAAAACTTGCGCTTGTTCCATTGGCTCAAGAAAGACACGTTTTGCAAATTTTGCGTAAACAGAATGAAGATTTGCAAGAACAGGATATCGGTCAAGATAACGTTTTGCAATTATTCTTGAAGATTGGTACCACCTCAACACCTTCTAATGCAATTACTTCTACTTCATATATACCATACTTACCTACAATTGGTTCCTCATTATATGAAAGATGTCAGAAATGCTCAAAGATTGGTGGACATTTAATTTCTTGCGTGAATTGTCATGTTATTCAACATATCGCTTGTTGTAGTAAAGGAGAAAAACCTTCCACGGAAATGATAGACATTCGATGGCTGTGTATTAATTGCAAAAATGCTAACCCAAAACGTAAAAATTATACGGAAAGCGTAGACATAAAAGTCGTCCCATCTAGTTTAATTGGTGGATATAAACGCATTAAAGTATGTAATCCAACTAAAGAAAACGGAACCAAATCAAGAAATAATTCGACTTTAAATAGTATTAGTATTCAAAATCTTGATAAAGGTTGTGACGAAGGAGTTTTATCGCCACAACTTACTCCTCATAAAGCAGAAACAAATGAAGGAAATACGTTAACCATGGAAGTAAAAATTAAGGATCAACGAGATTCTACCGATTTGACACTCCCAAATACTCCCATGTCGGGAGAAAATGAAAGCGATGATAGCAGTTTTACTGGCAATGGTTCGGAAATGGAAATGGAAATTGAATCTAATCAAGACGAATTAAAACTTGGGCTTTTAGATCGAGCGCCCCCATCAGACAATGGCCCGGAAGCAACTAGACAACCAGCGCGTTTTGACGGGGACATGTGAGTTTTTTTTTTGATTTATGCATATATAAAAATTTTACAATCTCTAATTTCATTTTGATCAGGTATACTCCTCGGTGGGTACGTGGAGTTGGTAAGTCAAAGGAAGGACTTTGTCCTCATTGTGAGCCTGTACGATGGCTTAAAACAAAGATTTCAGCTTATTGGTAAGATATAATTTTCTGAATTATTATTATTATTTAGATTATTATTCAAAAAGAGAGATGCATTTATTATAAATTCCTAGGTATCATCTCAATTATCAACATGGGATTTCTTCCATTACTGGAAGACCATTTACGCAACCTACTGCAGAAAGAGTTAATAAAAAGACTGGTATGAAAGAAGCGCTTTGTCACAAGTGTAATAAATGGATTTTAAATCAATCGCCACGTGACAAGGATGTTTTAGTCCCCGAGATTTATTGGTAAGCGGATTCTTTTACAGTAATATACCAATTTATATATAAACAAAGGGATTTATTTTCGATATTTATTAATAAGGTATAAACATGCGCAAAAGTGCCATCACACTGGTTCTTAAGGTAATTGTAATATTAATAAAACGTTGTTTCATTTAAATGATCTAAATTCAACTTTAGTTACTCACTATTCGGATATAATTTAGGTTTTGACATTTCATGAATTTAGGAATAATAATACATTTTAATTAGACTAGAAAAAAAAGTATTACAACAAAATGTTGATTTGTTTGACTAAACTTTTGTGTTATAAATGTATTTCTGAATAAATAAAATCAATTATTTGAATCTTATTTCATTTGAAACATGTTTTTGACAAAATAGAACATGGTATCAACTAATTGTAGCAATTTTCTATTATTTGCTATATTGTTAATAGATATATGAAGAATGTAATTTCTTAAAAAGCAATTAGTTAGTATTTCTTACTCTATTAAGATATAGTTGTATAAATTAGTCTAATTTTATTTATGTCGGAAATAGGATGAATGGAGACTGATTTTAAGAGCAAAGCTCCCATATATGACCATAAATTGATCATCTTATTTTCTTTTCATTTGAAGTCTTTTTTTGAATTGTATCACATTTTACTGTCCGTGTTACGAAAATTGGTCAATCACGTGATTAACATCAAAGTCATGTCGTCATGTGAAAAACTTCAACGGACGAAAATTTATTTTTTAATAAACAGGAAATAGAAACAACCCTGAAAGATTTATATTATTAATAATACTAAAGCCGTTTATATCACGTTTACTTTTCTTATAATTAAAGTATTAAAGAATAGCGATAGCATTTAATTTACAAAATACTTATGTTTTTCTCATCATAAGTTTTTCAAAAATATAATTAAACGCGACATTTAATAAAAATTGTCTGCACTTTTTTATTTTATTTTTAAAAAACAAAAAAAAATCGGGAGAAAGTTTTCAAAAAGTTGAGAAAGAAAAAAAAAAACTTTATTTACGTACTTAATCGATGGAGTCAGTCATGGATGACCTTAAAATGGTACTAGAATGTATACTCGTTTAGCATGTTTTTTAAACATACTAAAGAGACTTCCCGCCGATGACGTGCATATTTTTCGTTTATAATTCCAATGCTTGTTTATTCAAGGAAAGTAAATATTCTGTTTAATGAGTTTATAAGAACCGAGTACATCAGATTAGAGAATATTTTCACAATGACTATGATGACAGTTCAACCAATGGAAATATTAAAGGACATGCAAAAACTGACATGACCGAATTATCTAGTAAAGTACATTTAAACTAATTTTATTTTATTTTATATCTGCACATTCGTTTAACAATGATCGTTCATATTTCAACATATGGGACCTTTTGCAATAGAAAGGGGAAACTGCCGGGAAAAATAAAAAATGAGTTAATTAATACTACTGTTTTTTAATTTGATCTTTTATTTTTATTACTTGTGATTAGTAAGTAGTTTGTTAATAAACTCACATTGAAATGGAAATGATTGAATTTTATTCATAAATTTAAAATTTAAAGCAAATACTGTTAGTGACACAAATAATTTTGGGCTACGTGAATGTTTACATCGCAAAGTCAAATAATTTTTTTTTTATTCCCTTGAACATCGAACAAAAATACATAAGCGATATTTAACCGAAATTATATTGCTAAATTTACAAAGAATTTAAGGGCATTTTGAATATGTGAAATAAATATAACGTGGATTTTGTGTACAAATAGAATTATAACGATTCTTTTTATTTTCATATAGCTTGTTTGCTCAAAAGAAAATCATGTATGATCTATTTAAAGACGACGCAAATTTAAAACAAAAACATCTATATAGGTAATCAAATTTCAAATATAAAAATCATATGATCCGTAGCATGATGTTAATACAGTATTATTTGCTTTAGTTATCGATTAGTCGGCAAAAAGGTGAGAACAAAGAATGGCAGGCAGCCTATAACTTTTCATTCCTTACGAGTACGATTTCCTGAATATACACGAATTCCTACCTACCTATATCTCGAATACTTATCGTAATAAAATTTAATACCATATTTCCCAGCTTGTAAATTTTTTACAAGATCATCACGATAGGCATTTTCTATACAAAATAATTCATAATTGATTCAAATTTCAAACAATAAAAATTTCGAAACTATTATTACTGTCATATTACGGTATTTCTGACCTACGAAGTTTATATTTGTTAAATATTACTTCAAAAATAAAAAATATCATAAAAAGAGTTTATTGGTCATATTTTTCAATAATGGATTACATAAAATATTGACCATTTTGATCAATAGTAGTATAGTTTATCGCGTTTAATCCAAACAATCCCTCTAATCACACCACCCGCTATAATTTATAATAGTTTTACCACTCATAAAGTGAAGACTAGACTACATGGTGAATCCGTCTACCTATCCGAAGACATGGTGAAAGAGTCTACCTATAACCATCGCCTTCCTCCACAAGAGGAAGTAAACACCCACAAAAGTGAATGCAAACTGAGGAATAGACAAATGATTTCTATTCTTATTTATATTTAAAAGTGAAAAATTTGAAATTGTGGGATTCAAAGATCTTCATAATATACACTAATTATAGAAATAATGGATGATCATCTATTACAACATAACGTGATGTTAATACCCAATTAATTAATTATTGTTCTTTAATCGAAATTTTTAATTTTGTCATCTTTTTCATTTTATTTTTTTGAAAATGGGTAAACCATCAAAATTCTCGCGTAATAACGATAACACTCGCTTACGACAATGAAAAAACCAGAAAGTATAAGAAGAGATCGGTGACTTGCAAGTCGAAACTAAAAATTTTCAAAAATTTATGATATCTCAACGTGAACAAAATAATTTATTAAAAGGATACAGAGCAAATAAAAAACCTCGAAAAAGAATTACATTTACTTCATTTTGAATTCTATACATCTACTTTAAACACACAACCATCACAACCACAACAAATACATTCCATCACAGTCCTGTTTCAAAAGTGTGGATGAATATTTTAAATACGAAAAGGACAAGTTTATTATTATTATTAATTTTTTTTGATAGAACTTTTATTCATTATTTAAAGCTCATATTTAGAAATCAATCAAAAAATGATTGATTCGAACCGTTATTATTGAATTGATCGTAAATCAATTACAAGACGAAGAGAAGGCTTGGCTGGTTTGCTTTATAGAAAGATCAAATCGAAATTGAGTCAAATAAATCAAAAACTAAAAATAAAATGAAAATTTCAGATAGTCTAGTCGGAGTTTAAAATTTTTAACCTAAGGTTGCGTTTTAACAAAAGTCGAAATATACAGTTCCTATGATTCGTGAAAATAAGTTTGTCAAAAGGGCTATTGTTACCATAATCAGCGTTTCAAAGATATTAAAAAAAGCTATTATAATTATTTGGACCTAAAAAGATTCAGATGTATTATTCTAAAATTAAAAAAATAGGCAAAAAATTTGCCACCAGTCAAAGTTTTTGTAATGCTAAATTTGAACATATTCAGCCTGAAAATCATATTTGGTATATAAAAGTAAAATTGTTTTTTCCCGGCAAGTTTCCCCCCTTTCTATTGCAAAGGTCCCATATGATCAAATTTTTCACGGTCCGAACCATCTAAAGGAAAACAAAAGACTTTAAATAATATTCCGATCAATAATATTTTTCATTACTATTATTGGAATAAAAAATTCATTACCGCAGCTACCCACCTTTACTAAATGGGCAATTGCCGTAACATTTGCGCCTTATTGCTGCGGAATTCAAATTCAAATTCTATAGTGACCATCATTTGTAAAGCTTATTTATAAAACAATTCACCATTTCATTATTTCTCCCTTCTTTCTTTTTTTTTTTTTAAAAAAAAAAAACAATTAGTTTAGGTTTTAATGTCTTCGCAAGAAATTTGTTTAGGATTAGACATTGGTGGTACAAAATTCGCATGTGTTGCCACCACAACTGCTTCCCTAATAAATTCATCATTTTTCAATAAACCTACCATTCCAACTTTAGCCTCTGATGATCATGGTTACAAAGTATTGACTGGACCATTATTTTCGGTGGATTCATTTGATAAAGTACTAGATGAGTTTATTTTAAAACTTAGTGAAACCTATTATGAGAATTATAAAATCGTATCAATCGGGGTTGCGATTTGTGGTTTAAGTGATAAAGAAGGTACCATTACTTTATGCGAAATTGGTATCCTTCAAGGATGGAATCCCGTGAAACATTTAAAAGAGAAATTTGGTCAAGATGTTAAGGTTCTCACTTTTATGGATAGTGTTGCTGCATTAGAACATGCTAGGAGAGAATGGCCAGATATTAAAGATCTGTCTATCATGGTTGCGGGTAACTTTGCAAATTTTTATTTTTGCTTTTAATCTAATTTGATCGATTTTCTGAATATAACGTGTGATTAAAGGAACTGGAATCGGAGCAGCCTTTTTATGTAATGGACAAATCGTTAGAGGTCATCTAAATGCAGCAGGAAACGTTGGTATCGCTCCAGTGTTTCTTCCACAAGATTACACTAAACATGTAAAAAACGACATCACCGAACCTATGGGTTCGACACTTTCACCACCACCACCAACGATGATGCTTGATCAATTAGCAGGTGGTAGAGCATTAATTCGTATCATCACCCAAGAAATTGGTGTTAGCGTTGAAGAAGCAATTCAACGACTTTCCAAATATTCTTCTCCAAAAGAAGTCTTTTCAAATACTTCAGATGATGATGTTGAAATCGATCAAAAACTTCTTAAAATCATATTGGATTGGGCTACGGTGTTCGGGATAGCCATGGCCAATATCCTTTGTATTTTTAATCCAAAAGTTTTAGTAATCGCCGGTGGTGTTTTAAACTTCCCTTTTTATGTTGATAGAGTCATGGAAATTGGTCAAGAATATGCTGGAGCCATTATTCCTGAAATTTGGAGTGAAACTTTGGTGGTTAGAAGTTATTGGAGTAATGATTTAATTGTCAGGGGTGCTTTAGCTGCTGCTTATGATGATGGAAAGTATTCATTTATGAAAAATTGTGTTGGATAATAGAATCATGAAACGAATAATTTGAAATTTGTTCTTTGTTAAAATTAAATACCCGGGTCTTATATAAATAAAGTGCCATTTTAGAATGAAATGTGGCTCAGTAATCCACGTTGCTTTAACATTATGAAACAATTCGTGATTTGCCTTTCTATGCATCAAACAAACAAATTAACCCAAAAAAGATAAGATTTTTAGGCACTAGAAATTTTTTTTTTTTTGTTTTCGGTGGTTTTTTTTTTTTTTCGGGAGAATATTGATTACTTTATCATGTCAAGAGTATCATCAACTCCTGAAACATTTGATGAACCTCCACACGTTTCTTTCCTTCTTCCTACGAAAAATCCACCTTCTTCATCCTCAAGTAGGACTCCTTCAGTAATTTCTGTTGCCTCTATTAATTTTACTTTGAAACAGCCACGTTATCATACTTTATATCAACCTTCATGGCGTGAGCAGTTGGCCGTTGAACTTGACAACTCTGCCATCGGTAGTATATGGAAATTGGTTGATGCTTTCCTAAATATATTATTATGTTGTATTTACATTGCAAACACGAATGATATGAAGGGAACCTTGCCATGGTTTAACGTGTGGTTTGAAGTCATAGTGTCAATTTTGTTATTAACGGAATATATTCCAAAATTTTATATCTATGAATTCAATTCTTGGCGTTCCTTGTTTACCAGTCCTATACCATTTCTTACAATTTTAACCGTATACCCTGTAGTAACAACTGCAATTGATCCTGTTTTTCAAGAAACCCGTTATATAGTTTTCTTTTATCCTTTTAGATTCCTTCGTTGTTATTTTTCTGTATACGATTGTTTAGTTAGAAGTGAAAAATCTGTTTTAAAATTAGGCCAAGTTACCAGTAAATTTTTGATTTTTTTGCAGACTATCATATTTCTGGTATTGACCGGATCTTCTTTATTGCACGGCGTGGAATATGTTTATATGGTATGATTAATTTGAATCTTTTTTTTAAAAAAAAAAAAAATATCAAACAATCATTCAATCAAATTTTGTATTCAATGACAAACTCTTTTAGGACGAGAAACTTACTTTCTTAGATGGTACATTTCATTATTAAATCATTATTCCCCGTTATTTTTTTTTTCTACTTAGACCGATATATTAATTGTTGGTCATGAATAGCTGTGTTTTTCACGACTATTATGTTGGGAACCGTCGGATACCTCAGTGATATAGTACCTGATAATGCATTTCCCAGAATTCTTTTATTGGTCATTTTTACGACTGGCTTAATATTTATTCCGGTAAGTTTAATTTATGAGCATGAGGGCTCTTTTTTTTTTGTAAAAAATTTAATTCTAATGCTTTCTTATTTAGTATTCT